CTCTTACGTGATACGAGATAGTGCACCAGCCTAATCTCCATGATCAGGCGTAACGATCTCGAATAATCGATGGCTGGATATTGGGAGAACAAAACCGCTAGAAACGTCAGGTGATGTCAAATAGGTAATTCCAAATAATTGATCGAATTACAAACAAAATGACTAACACTAATGGCACATTCAGATAATAACGAGTTTTCACTAGTATTCGAGTGAGGAAGTCTTTCCCTATCTATTAGAGTGATTTATCGCAGTAGATGAACATCGTATATACTAACCAGAAGTTGGCTTATCAATATAAGAGTATTGGAGTCGCGCAAATAAATAAACAAATAAGAATAAATGGACAAATATCTCATCTAACAACCTCGAACGGCAGAACTGAGCGAGCAATTAATTACTGAAGGAATATCAATGAATGAACAAGTACGGATCAACTATCTGAGAAAACAACTTGGATTTAGACATTTTCACGCATTTTCTGAATAAGACAGAAAATAAATGTTCCATAGCTCAGAGAAATTGAAACCGAAGACCAAAAATCAGCAATGAGTCCACATATAAGAAGCCAACTGATTTGGCTCACTAGAAGGCAAAATTGCGGCGAGGGACCAAAAAAGCAAGGGCAATGAAGGAAACGAGGTGAAAGAAGAGCTGTGGGTGGTCCTAGAGGGACCCAGACGAGGTTCGTGCTTCTGCAACAACAGGCGTGCAACCCTCGCAAACAAAATGTTATCGATCCGCTTCAGAAATGCATACTAATCTGCACGGGCTATTGTCGGCATAAATTACACACTACATCGGGCTGATTTTTGTAAACGCAGCCCCAAGTGATCAGAGATCTGCTCTTTACTGAGTTTTCCCTGAGGAGCTGATTTTGGATTAAAATATAAACAAGGATACTGAATTACACTGAAATACAACACATGTTTACTATTGGCTGCAAATTTTAATAAAAGATTAATAAAAGGAAGACCCGGTAAAAAGATCATTGGAGGTCCCCCCAGAATGAATAGTAAGGACGAGCTAGGTGACGTCCTGCAACTGATTTACAAATGTGACTAGTGCCATGTGGTTTGTGATAACAATGCAGGCGCAATCACCAGGAGTCTGGGCGATGGGTAGGTCACTAAGTCAATACTTCGAAGCAGGGCACCCGTAGGCAGGGCATATCATTGGTTGGGGATTTTGGTCGATCCGTGCGCCCCATTCCTCGCCCCCCCCTTTTTGGGGTTGGTACGACCCCCCCCCCCCTGGTTCCCTCCTTATCGAGGGGTATGTGACAAGAGAATCGGGATTCGCCGCGCTCATGGGCGTCTCGTGCGACATCGCGCCCTTCCTTGGCGCAGATGGCGAAGATGAAGTGTGGAACCGAACATATTCATAAACGTCTGCGGCGTAGCCCTCGTGAAATCCAGTGCTCCAATCGACAGG